CCGAATAGTTTTTCCAGACAGATTCAAATCTGAAACTGTTGCAGATCTGTTGGAATTTTGAATTGTATCTGTTCAAAACAGTTTCATACCTGTTTGGTTCAAAACGACACCTATTGACAGATCAGTTTGCCTATAAATACCAGCCATTTCCAGTAGTTTTCCAATCCGAAAGCAGTCTGAAAAATTCATTTTTGCAGTCTAGATTTCGCTCTATTGCATATATATTCTTAATATAATTTTAGGAAAAATTTAGAAAGTATAAAACACAGGTTTTGTTTGCCATACAAATTGTTTGGAGTGCTACTACAATTTGTGAAAATCATTGTATCTTGAGAGATAGACGCCTTTTATCCGTAAGTACCGTAGCGGGACGAATCTGTCTTAAAGACAGAGCGTCACACACTTGACTTAATCTTTTTGTACTTTTACATTTCGGTAAAATAAATTATGTAAGTAATTTATTTTTATTTGTTTGATTTATTTCAACTTATTTATTTTACACAGAAAATTATTCCAACAGAATTGACATTAAATTTATAACCAACCAAATCATGATTGATTCCAAGTTTTTGGACCTAGAACCATACCAATCATGCACTAGAACCAACCCAATCCAATATAGCTCGGGTTGGTTCAGGCTGTAACCACAATTCTATTATATTAAAAATAAGTAAAATAGTCAATAATAAATAATTAAAATACACAAGTGTTGGTCAATCTAAAAAAAAAATACACAAGTGTTTAACATTTAAACTTAACACGAACAAAGAGCAAAATATTGTTTAATGCAAACCAATATAAATTAAATCCGACTCAAGCATAAATATATTAAATACAAATTAAATTCATTAATATAACCAATACAAATTAAATTATTTGCAAAATCTAATTGAAACTTCTAGTATTTCCTTCATTTACCTAATAATTCTTGTATCTGAAAAATTATTAGGTGTAATCAAGCCCATTGTAATAGAGCAATAAGATGAAGACATGTCAATATAAATAAAATTTTAAAATATATATACATATATATAAATAGATTTGATTCTCGAATTAATTCAATTTAGACAAGACCTGAATGAAGAACCAATTCCTATTAATTTTATGATTTAAAGATCCAAAACCAAACTAATACACATAAAAACCAACCCAACCCAACCCAACCCAAAAATTCTTCGATTCACTAGCTAATTTCAACACCCTAATCTCAAGTATAGTTGTAGTGGTTGGAATCATCTTGGTTTTTCAGTGTCAGTTTTTTTTTTTAGTTGGAGAGATGGATTAGATGCTCCAGATTTTATTTGCATCACATTGCCTAATTTGATGATCCAATCTAAATTATATAACCATCTTCTAGCTTTAAATGTGTAGATTCTTTAATAAATAAATTAATTAAATACATTCAATAATTATAGTCGAGTGATTTTAAACTATTTGATTTCATAATGTGGCTGTATAACACTACAAGAAAAGTGGGTATATGAGACGGAACTATTTGCGACGGCACACTTGCCGTCTCAAAAAGTCACTTTTTGCGACGGCAGAAAATGCTGTTTCAAAAAAGTAGAGTATTTGCGACGGCACTATTTGCCGTCTCAAAAAATGAGAGTATTTGCAACGGTAAATAGTGCCGTCGCAAATGCTCTGCTTTTTTGAGACGGCAAATGGTGCCGTCGCAAATACTCTGCTTTTTTGAGACGGCATTTTCTGCCGTCGCAAAAAGTGGCTTTCGTGTTTTTTTTTTAGTGAATATTTTAAAAATTTTAGATATTTTTTTTAGATGTACCTTACTTAGATGTATCTAAAAAATAAAAAATTTATGAAAAAAATATTTTTAAAAATTAATAAATACATAAAAATACAAAAAAAATGTATTGAATTATTATTATTTTTTTTTGTATTTTTGGTATTTAGTGAATTTTTAAAAGATTTTTTTTACAATTTTTTTTAATTTTTAGGTGTATTTATGTTAGGTGTGTCTAAAAATTTAAAAAAAAACTTAAACTATTAAAAAAATTCAGTAAAAACAATATAACACGGAAAACAAGAAAGTATCTCAAAAGAGTTTTTGGAAAACTCTAACCTAGCATAGTGATTGTGGTTTTGAGATAGCTTCATATATATACAGTCACAAAATGGTTTAAATAAATTCAACGGTATTTTTCTGTCACAAAAAAAATTAAAAAAAAACAATGTCGTCTTACTCTTTTGATATAACATTTCTCTTTTCATTCATTTTTTCATCTTCCTGTCTCTCTGTGTCTCTATCTCTCTCTCTTCTCTTTATCTCTTTCACTTATCACTCTTCTTTCTATGTCTGCCTGTTTCTCTCTCTCATTTTCTCTCTGTGCCTCTCGCCTATCTCTCTTCTCTCTATCTCTCTCATCTGTTTTCTCTCTTTGTCTCTCTCACTCATCTCTTTTATCTCTATCTCTCTCATTTTTTTCTCTCTCTCTCTCTCTCTCTTATCTTTCTATCTCTCTCGCTCATTTCTTTTCTCTTTCTGTCTCTCTTTTTTTGTGTCTCTCTCTCGCTCATCTCTTTTCTCTCTATTTCTCTCTCTTTTTGTCTATCTCTCGCTCATCTCTTGTTTCTCTCTTTTTTTCTATCTCTCCATCTCTCTCTCTTTCTCTTTCTATCTTTTTTCTGTCTATCTCTCTCTCTCTATCTCTCTCCCACTCATCAATCTTCTCATTCTCTGTCTACTTGTCTATTTGTCTATTTCTCCCTCACTATGTTCGCCTTGCTCACTCTCTTACTCTCATCTTCTCTATTTATTGAGCTCCTTATCGATTTATCGATCCACTATAAACGACGACATCTTACTCTTTTGAACATTTCTCTTTTCACCAATTTTTTCATCTTCCTATCTCTCTGTCTCTGTCTCTCTTTTACTCATCATTCTTCTTTGTCTGTCTGTCTCTCCCTTTCTCTATGTGTCTTTGTATCTCTTCTCTCTCTCTCTCTCTCTCTCCGTCTCTCTCTTTCTCTCTGTCTCTCTTCTCTTTCTCTCTCTCACTCATCAATCTTCTCTGTCTGTCTGTCTGTTTGTCTCTCTCTTTTTCTCTGTGTCTCTCATCCATCTATCTTCTCTCTATCTCTTTCATTTATCTTCTCTCTCTGTCTCTCTTTTCTCTCTCTTCTTTTTTTTTTCTCTCACTCATCTCTTTTTGTTTCTCTCGTTTATCTCTTTTCGCTCTCTCTTTGTCTCTTTAGCCCATTTCTTTTCTCTCTATCTCTCTCACCTCTCTCTCGTTCATCTCTCTGTCTCTCTCATTCATCTATTTTCTCTCTATGTCTCTCTCGCTCATCTCTCTTCTCTTTATCTCTCTCTCTGTCTCTCTCATTCATCTCTCTTCTCTTTCTGTCTTTTTCTGTCTTTCACTCTCTATCTCTTTCTCTTTTTTTCTCTCTCTCTTTCTCTCTCTCTCTCTCCCTCACTGTGTTCGCGTTGCTCACTCTCTCCCTTCCATTTTCTCTATTTACTGAGCTCCCTCTCGATTTATCGATCCACTACAAGAAAATACACTTTTAGCGACCACTTTGTCTCTTTCTCGCTCACCACTCTGTCTCTATTTCTCTCTCTCTCTCTCCTCTATCTGTCTCTCACTCATCTCTCTCTCTCGCCACCCATCTCCTTTACCACCTTCACCACTACTGCAAACGTCATTTCACTACCATCATTACTACCACGGTCGCCATTTCACCTTTACGACTACCATTACTACTACCATCGCCACCACTCCACTACCACCACTACCACTATTGCCACTACTGTTACTACCATTACCTCTCTTTCACCCCTGCCACTCCATCTACTCTACCACTACCACAACTTCACCACTAATCTCTTTCGCCATCACTACCACCACAACCACCACCATCATCTCTTATCCACCACCTTCACCACTACTGCCGCTTCCTCTCCTCTACTACAAAATATTACCTCTCTTCTCTCTCTCTCTCTCATCACTCTTCTCTGCCTATCAGTCTTTGTCTCTGTTTCTTTCTCTTTCTCTCTTTGTCTCTCGTTCATCTATCATCTCTCTATCTCTCTTCTCTCTCGCTCATTTATCTTCTCTCTATCTCTATCTCTGTCTCTCTAGCTCATCTTTCTTCTCTCTTCGTCTCTCTCTTTTTCAATGTCTTTCTCTCGATTATCTCTTTTCGCTCTCTTTCTCTCTCTCTTTGTCTATCTCTCGCTCATCTCTTGTTTATCTCTATTTTTCTATATGTCTCTCTCTCTATCTCTTTCTCTCTCTGTCTTCCTATCTCTCTCTCTATATCTCTTTCTCTCTCTCTCACTTATCACTTTTCTCTTTCTCTTTCTCTTTCTCTCTTTGTGTCTGTTTGTCTGTCTCTCGCTCTTCTCTCTTTCTCTTTCTCTCTATCTCTCTTCTCTATCTGTCTCTCACTCATCTCTCTCACCACCCATCTTCTCTACTACATTCACCACTACTGCAAATGCCAATCCACTACTGCCACTTCCTATCCTCTACCAAAAAAAAATTAGTTCTTGATTTTTAGTAACAAAAAAAAAAATGGATCGCAAAAAAATATTTTTCGTTGACCACAAAAATTAACTTTATTTTAATGAAAAATATTGTCCCTACTTCTACCAAATAAAAAATAATAATTTTTTATTTATTAAAATAAATATGAAACAAATAAACTTTCAACCTTACTAAATGAAAAAAAAAAATTCATTAACTAAAAAAAAATCATTTTATTATTTAAAAATTTCCAGTAAATCCTCAGTAAATTACTCAGTAAATTTCCTGTAAATTACATAGTAAATTCTCAGTAATTTCCTAGTAAATTTCCAGAGAATTACTTAGTAAATTCTCAGTAAATTTCTGAGTAAATTCCCAGAAAATTCCTAAAAAATTCCCATTTCCACCCCCCCTTCCTTTCCATTCCCGCTCGGGTTCCCCCACCCCAAACCCAAAATCCCCAATCTCAAAAATCCCTAATCTCTTCTCCCTTCCCCTTTTTTTCCATGCCCGCTCGGGTTTCCCCCATCCCAAACCCAAACCCAAACCCAAACCCAAAATCCTCAATCTCAAAATCCCTAATCTCTTCTTACGTCTCTCTCTCTCTCCGTCTCAATTTGTTTCAGATGCTGATTCGGATGATTCACGGTCGAGGAAGAAGAGGAAGAGCAAAAGTTCTAGGCGTAGAAGTAGGAAATCAGAATCAGTCGGTGATAGTGAATCGGATTCTCTCCAAGTGAGACAAATCTTGAGAGGAAGAAGATGGAAAATGAGGTAATGTGCTAAGTGGCTCATGTATTTTCTCCACTTTTTGGCTAGTAACCCACTTTTCTTTTCTTTTTTTGTATTGTTTTGTGTCAGGTAAAATGAATGGAGATGGAGCAGAAAAGTTGCTCCTTGAAGGTCAAAAAACTAATAGAGAAGGATGCTTGGATAACACTTGAGAAACACCGATTTGGAAGAAGTGGGACAGATTATGATTTTGCATCTCGTGATCCTCATACAGCAAGGGAAGATTTTGAAAAGCTGCAAGATGAGCAATCAGAGTGTGTATCTGAGAAACCCTATTCAGGCCCTAGATGTGCTACCATGTCAAGCTGAGTTAGAGTTGTAAAGTTCATGTGAAGAAATAAAACTTTCATTAATTTACCTTTTGAGTTGATCTATTTTTTTTTTTGCATTTGTATGCTCATCAACTTCTCTTTTCAGGCGGTGACTCTATGGTACAGGGCACCAGAAATACTCCTTGGATCTCGCCACTATTCGACTCCTGTGGATGTTTGGTCAGTGGGTTGTATATTTGCTGAAATGGTGAATCAGCGGCCATTGTTCCCTGGGGACTCTGAGATTGATGAACTATTCAAAATCTTCAGGTTTATAATTCCTGAACAACATTTTTTTCTGTTGTTTTCTGGAAAAAGTTGTATTTAGGCTGCTCATTTATAATTTGGAAAGCCATGCTCTCTAGAAGTTTTTGATGGCCTCACAGGTCAGTTACTTGTGTTCATTTTGACCTGAATGCAAACCCCTTGCTGAAGTGTCTCTGAAGACTACCAGCAAACCACTTGCTGCAGTCAATTAAAGATTTATTCCCCTTCCCTTTGATAGAAACACCACCGGGATACCACTGGCTGTAGTGGGTTCTGTATTTGTTAGATTCTTGTTCTTATTTTTAAAGTTTTTTTAGTTATTTCTTCTTATATTCTATGTATAAAATTGGAAGAAATTTCTGCATTTGGTTATCAATAAAGACAAGACCAATGTTAGATAGATCCCAATTCTATAGTTATAAATTTTTACTTGATGTTTAGAAAATCTGGAATTTTTTCATGGATAAGCAACTGCTCTAAATTAGAAGGAAGAAAGCAGGAAAAATGACTACTCTTGAATTTTATTGGCTTTATGGTTGAGATCCTTTATCTGCTTTTTGACATTTAGATATGCTGACCTACAGAAAGGAGAGAAAAAAATTTACCATTGGTATTGTTCTTAGGAAATCTTAATCAAAATGAGAACAAATGGTATCTGTAACCTTGCTTTACTGAATGAGTTGCAGGCAATTTTCTTTATTTGACTTGTCAATTTTTAATTTTTTTATTTGATGTTCTGGATGTTATATTATGTTCTATTGATATATATGTTTTTTGCCCCCTGTGAAGAATCTTGGGTACTCCAAATGAGGATACGTGGCCTGGAGTGACTTCTTTGGCTGATTTTAAATCTGCCTTTCCAAAATGGCCTTCTAAGGTGATTGATTCTAGGATGTGTTGCTGCATATTCTTTGATCTTCTTGTTTATTAAAAATCAAGATTGAAATGGTGTCTCCTCTCTCTTATGCAGGACCTGGCAACTGTGGTTCCAAATCTTGACTCAGCTGGCATTGATCTTCTTAGTGTAAGTTAAATGTCTATGTTTGTTTAAAATGCATCTCATTCAGGAACAAGTTGATGCTGAAGTATCCATAGCTTGCCCCTATGCTTTTCCCTTTTGCACTATAGTTTTATATGCAAGTTTACTTGCTTGTTTAATTAGTTATATTTTCTTATTAATCCTTACATGCTATGAAATATGGATATGAATATGGGGCACATGTATGATACATTAATTGGACATTTTAAGAAAAAAAGAGCACTACTTTAATCACAATGTTTTCTTTTAGAAGAAGTAAGCAATGTGTTGGAAAATTATTCTTATATTTATACTAATAATTATAATAATGCTATGCAAGAAATGTTACAATCTCACTTCCATAATAGTTTGGATATGTTACAAAAAGTATCCGATACTTCTCGCTATTGAAAAAAAAATAAAATAATAATTTTTGATATATTTAGGAAGTATCGATATGTATCTGCAAGTATTTGAAGAGTATCGTTCTCCGATAAGATATGATATGGAGATGACTTCCCTCTGAAAGCATCCGTGTGTCATAGAATATACAATCTTGATTTCTAAATAAAGTCTACTTACACAATGTAGGAAGTTTTTGTGGCCTTGAGCCAGGCACTGTTTTTTAGACTACAATAAATGGATAAATGTTACACAGTGATTAAATAACATTCTGCAATATGAAGTTTTCCCATTACTAATACCTCTGTATGATTTCTTTCCAGAAAATGCTCTGTTTGGATCCAAGCAGAAGAATTACAGCTAGAAGTGCCCTTGAACATGAATACTTCAAGGATATTGGGTTTGTACCTTGATTCCCTATGCCTATCTTCCTGGCTGCAAAAGTGTATGTCAATATATAGCATTTCATGGGTTCATTTTTTCCATTTTGTTTTGTTTTTTTCTTTTTGTGAGAAGTGCGGTTTGTTTTTCACGGCTTATTTCCCCCCTTTTAATTCAAATTACATTGAAGTGGTTATTGGCACAGTTGTAGTGGAAGTGTCTAGTGTTTGTTCTCAGGATTTCACTCCCCAATTTCTTTGTCTTAAAGATAGGTATTGGTGTTAAGGTTTTTAATCTCTTTGTAACATCATGCTTTGTGAAAGACATAATGGTTTCTATCCCCCTTGTATGAAAAACTTTGGTTTGCCTTTTATTTGCTCTCAAGCTCTCTCTTGCTGTCTCTTTTCTCTATTGAAATTGGAATTTTTAGCGAGTGTTTGATTAGGAATGTATAAAGTGGAAACCACACTTTGCATTTCAAATCCCATGTTGGCAGGAGGTTATGCTAAGTTGAGCGCGGCTTGTGTGTGTTTAGCAAGACTAGTTAAGAAGCATAGGATGCTATAGGCAAATAGAGCATGTAGCTTGTAATGCTCTGTTAGCAGTGTTTTTGTAATTCTAAGTATAGTGTAAAAAGATGTATGATTGAACCGAAGGAATGGAAATGCTAGCTTTCTTTGGTTCGCAAACAGACAAATTCACTTCAAATAAACACCCTGAAGAATGAGTTTGCTTCAGACACCTAATCATTTTAAGTTGTGTCAAATTCTGTAGCCACTGGGTGCAAATTGACTGAACTCACACTCTAATTTGTGGTCTCATGCTTGGCAGCTTGAGTATTTTACTACTGCTGTGTTTTTATGTATGTAATCATTTGCTACTATCAGTGGGACTTTGGACATTTCTAACCAGCACAACGGGGTAAGATTGTGTATACATTTGACCCTCAGACTCTGCAGTGGCGAGAGGATTGTGCATTCTTTCTATCTTCATAGTGATGGCATTTAAAAAAGCACCGTCATACAAAGGCTTGAAGAGAGAACAATCTGCCTTGAGAAGAAAAAGAGTAGGCTACGGAGTTGCAATTTTCATTTTAACTATGTAGAGAGTGCAGTGAATCATCCTAAGCCAGGCTTTTGGAGCATGGAAAATTCTTCACTTTGGGCCTGTTTGTTTTCCATGAATCCTCTTAATTTTGGTTTATGTTATTTTGAATTATGAACAAAATCATGTATTTAAACATTATATATGTATTATAGAACATTATGTAGTGGGATAATTTTGTTGATGTGTAATTATAAATGGAAGAATTTTTTATGAAGAAATTGTTATTTTTATACAGGAATTTTTATATTATTATGCAATTATTATGGAGAAATTTTAATTTTTTTAATAATTTTATCGGAGGATTTTTTTTTCAATTTTTGTGATAGCACTACACCGTCGCAAAAAACAGAAAATTCTATTATTTTTATTGATTTTGTTACAGGTTTTACTTTTTGCGACGACACTAAACTGTCGCAAAAAATAGAAATTTTATTATTTTTTAATGTTTTTTGCGACGGTAGTATCTGTCGCAAAAAATAGAAATTTTTATATTTTTAATACTTTTTGCGACGGCACCACACCGCCGCAAAAACAATGGCCTTGTTTGGTTTGTATTTGAGAAACATGTTTTGAGAGAAAAAGTACGAAAATTTGTTTGGTTTGGTGTTTTTTCAAAAAATGTTTTGAAAAATTATTTTGAGAGAGAGTTTTGGAAACAGTGATTGATTTGATGTGTATGAAAGAGAGATTTGTTTGGAAAATTTGTAAACCAAACAAGTTTTGGAAAAAAAATTTGGGAAAATTTGTTTGGTTTAATTACTTTTGAAAACTTATTTATAGAGAATTTTTCCCAAATTTTTTTGAGAAACACAAACCAAACAAGGCCAATGTTCTTGCCGTTGCAAAAAAAGACTATTAGCGACGACATTTTTTGCCGTCTCAAATAACATTTTTAGCGATGGTAAAATAGTGCCGTCGCAAAAAAGTCAAGAAATTTCAAACGTTATTAGCGACTGCACTATATATATATATAAATAGGTTCGATTTTCGAATTAATTCAATTTAAACAAGACCTAAATCAAGAACTAATTCCTATTAATTTTATGATTTAACGATCCAAAACCAAACTTAACACATATAAAAACCAACCCATCCCAAAAAATTCTTCGATTCACTAGGTAATTTCAACACCCTCACCTCAAGTATAGTTGTAGTGGTTGGAATCATCTTGAAAAAATATTAGCGACGACATTAGGAGTATTAGCGACAGTATTTTACCGTCGCAAAAAGTCAATTTTTTTGTAGTGATAATTTCATATAATTTCAAACTTAAATAATTTAAGTTTCGTTTGGCATTGACTACGGCAGCCAACTTTTTTATGTTACTTTTTTAGCTTGGCTTTTTTAGTCTCATTTGGTTTTTGTTTTTGAGCTTTTTTTTACTTTTGTGAGAAAAAAAAGTGTAATAATTATGATTTAGATGTGATATTTTGTCTTATTGGTTTATATAGCTTATTTTATTTTTTTGTATTTTCTTAACCCTAAAATATTTACCAAACAAAGACTTAATAAATATAGCCACATAACTTGAATGACAAGGTTTTGTCAATCAATAATATAATATTATATTATACAAAGATAAAAAAAAAATTATATCAATCTAAATAATTTACAATTTAAAAAAAAAATTTAATTGCATATCGGCAAACCCAACACCAATGAAATGAATGATTTTCTTAAAAAAATCACATAATGCCTATTTTTCAAAAAAAAAAAAAAAAAAATGTATGATATGATGATACTCATATTTGGTTAACTTAATTTTTTTATATGAATAATTTACTCCATCAACCTTATAAATAGGAACCGTCCTGGGCATAGGCCCACCAAGCCGTGGCCCCTCAAAATAGACCAAAAAAAGGAGGCCCCTCCTATTATAGTTTAGTGTAATATATTAGATATGTTTTAAGTTCAAAAACAATTAAAGAAGGCTCACACTAACTTAAAATAAATTGATCCATTAAAAAATTAAAAGGCCCATTCAAAATTGAAAGAGCTCATTCTCTCTCCCTATCTAATTCATAAAACTAACTCTTAATTCAATCTTTCCAAAAATTTTAATATTGTAATTTGATACAGTTTGTTGTTTCATGTTAGGGGTGTAAATTTGGCTCGGCTCGGTCCATGTCAGGCTTCGTCGACTCCCACCAAAATTCAGGCTGGACCGGGCCAACCCATGGGCCAAAAAATTAGGCCTGGTCCAGAAGGTATTCGGGCCTTGGGCGGGCTGGTGGGTCAGGCCTCGAGCGGGGCCAGTGGGTCCAGCCTGGGCTCAGGCTTGGGTGGGTCAAAACAAATTTTTTTGTTTTTTATTTTTTCTACCAAAATTTTATTATTTATCACTAAAAAAAACATTTGGCCTCGGGCAAGCTGGACCTTGAGTGGGCTTTAAGCGGCCTGATAAGCAGAGTCAGGTGGGCCGAGCTAGGCTTGGGCCGGGCCCACCCTAGGCTGCGGGCGTGTTTCGGGCCGCCCACGGGCCGCGGGCCAATTTTACACTCTTATTTCATGTGAACTCTGTTAGCAAGCTTCTTCAAAGTGAAGATATGGATATAGCAGTTGCTGTAAAGCAGTTAGATGGGCTTGTTAAGTATGTTGCAATGTGTAGAGAAGTTGGTTTCATGGAGACTATGGTTGAAGCCAAAGAAATGACAAGTAAATTGGGAATTGAACCAACATTTGTTGAAAAGCGCATCATTTCTAGAAAGAAACAATTTGATGAGAATGTTAGCGAAGAGGTGACCCATTCGGCTGAAGAATCATTTAGAGTTGGTTACTTCTTCTATTTTGTTGATCAAGCCCTTTGTTCACTCAAAAATAGGTTTGAACAATTCAAAGTATATGAGGCAAACTTTAGCTTTTTGTTTGACTTGAAAAAGTGCAGCGATGAATCGTTGAAGGCGGGGTGCGTGAACCTTGAAGAATTTTTAAAATTGGTGTCATTTCTGATATTGATAGAAGAAATTTATTGTTGGAGCTAAAAGTCTTGAAAGAGATACTGCTAAAAGAAGTCAATAAACCAATTGAAGTGCTCAATCATCTACAGTTGATGGTAAATTGTTTTTCAAATTCATGGGTTGCTTATAGGGTACTTTTGACTATTCTGGTTACAATTGCATCGAGGGAAAGAAGCTTTTCAAAGTTGACAATGATAAAAAATTACCTTCGATCAACCATGTCACAAAAAAGATTGAATGGATTAGCATTGTCATCCATTAAAAATGATTTTGCAAAAAAATTAGATTATGCGCATATGATTGATTTATTTGTTTCTAAAAATGCAACAAGAGTGAGGATCGGGTGATACTTATTAGTTGTTGTAATGTAATGTTAAGTATTTTTTTGTAATTTTGTCACAAATCTTTTGTTCTTTACCTTAAAAAAATTTTCGGTGAATAAAATAAAATAAAATATGTGAATGGCTCCAAATGATCTAATAATATTTATTAGTTGATTATCAATTTTGGGCCCCAAAAATCTCAAGAGCAGGTCTACTTTGAATTATAAAAATCAATTCATGGTAAGCCCCACTTGAGAGCACAACACAACATAACATGCAATGTTGGAAGGCACAAAATAAAAACAAACAAGAAAAAAATTGTAAATAAATGGGACAATTTTAATATATATATATATATATATTATTTATAAGTTTGACGCACAAAAAAACTTGCACAAATTTTTTTTTTAAAAAAAAAAAAAAAACTAAAAAAAAACACTTATAATACCATAAAAATATAATTTTTTCTCATTTTCCAATTGAAATGTAATTTCCCATAAAGTCACTTAGTAAATCCACCAAGATTTCGTCTCTTCCAAATTCGTTTATGAATTAATGCATCACAATTGATAATAGATGCATAGTATGTAGAGAACGGGAAGTACAGATCATTGAATGACAAGATTAATATGTTGGTTATCAAATTAACATATTTAAAATATTAGATACTAAAATGATACAAGATGTATATTTTGGGGATTATTTGCCTATTTAACCCAAATCAAGACTTAGCTCCATCATTTTTGTATATAAATTTTTTAGGGTAAATTATAGATACATTTCTTGAATTATGTTTAAAATACGGATTGCCCATTATAGTTTTTGAAATTACAAATACCCCCATGTCAGAATTTTTTATTTAATAGAATTAACAATAAAAAAAAAATCTCACTATTCTCATATATAACAATAAAATTACAATAATTTTTAATTGAAATATCTTCCTAATATCATTAAAAATTATTAATTGATTGAATGATTTATTAATAAAATGAGTTATTTGTTATGCGATTAAAAATTTGAAATAGCAAAATGTAATTTTTAAAATCATAGGAAATAATCTATGTTTTAAGCAAATCACTGTTCAACAATAAATTAACAATTATCCACCTCATCTTTTAGAGATAGATTTTCGGCTAAAACCAAATCTGTTATTGGAAAATTGCCAAGATGAACATAAATAAGAACCACTAGTCACTTATAAATTGTGGCCTTTGAGTGGTGTGTTAAGGGCCTGACAGAGAGAGAAATAACTCAAAATAGTTTGAGAGTTGTGACAATGATAATGACACTATCGTTGATAGCAACAAGTGTTGTGAGGGCACAAGAGCCATACCTTGTAAGGTGCTTGGTGCAATGCGTTTTAGCAGTAGATGTGTCGTGTCTTCTCACTTGTTTAATATGAAACTATTGCACTAGAAATATCATCAATGTTCCCCTACTTGCTCTTATGATTGTACGAAGAAAAATTATAGCAAGTTGGGATTTGGTATGTCACAACCTGCAAATCATATCTTAATTTTATTTAATTTATGCATACTTAAAAAAATGCAAAGCATACACATCTATCTTTATCTATATCCGTGATTTTATTTTCTTTTGAAACTCCTTTTTACATGACCCAAAAATGGAGTATAAAATTATGCACCGTATAAAAAGATTAGATAGGCTGCATAATTTTTGCAAACACCATCTCTTCTCCGTACTCGGTGCTCAATTTTCTGAACCATTTTCGTGCCCCAACTTTGTTTTTCAGCCTCTTTCTTCATTTGCCCTCAAAAGCCTATTTGTATTGGGCTTCGATTAGGACCGGAAAAAAAATTGGACCAAACTTTTCTTTAGTTCAAGAGTTGGATTGGAGGATCCAGTTCAAAAATTGTGAGCCCACTTCAATAACATGAACTATTCAACTTCTAGTGCCTTTTGAATAGATCATTT